AGCAGGAAGCACAGCACGTGTGTTTGAGGTGAAAAATGAGAGGGTTGTGGCTTTGTCTGAAGCTCTTGATTTGGAGAATCTGAAGCCGAGTGTAGAGCAGCACAGCCCGGATGGTTCCTATTGCAGCAGCAAACGTGGCAGTCTTAATTTGTTCAGCAGGAACGTGAGTAGGAGCTTGAATATTGCAAGAGGTGAAAACTTAAATTTGCCAATGAAAGCTTAATCTCTGCTGCAGCTGTCAGCCCGATGCTCAGTGCAGGGCTGGCTCACAACCGATCACAGTGGTCCCGCTCACCCCTCTTTATCCCCTGGTGCCTCATCTGGTCTGCTTCAGCCTGACAGCCCTGTTGCTCAAAAGCTGACCCACCACTGCAGATCCTCCCCCGGCCCCAAGGATGAGCTGGCACAGCTGAATCACGTGCTATAAAGGTGCAAAGGACAATTTCTGAAGCAGGTGCTGCCTGTGCGTTTCTGCAGGAGATGGGCAGGTCTATGAAAAGCAAGGCATTTGTACCACTGATACTCCCCCATTGACTGCAGATTCAAAGCTCTCATATTTCCCTCTTAAGCATGCACGGTTTCTTTGGCATCACTTAGTTGTGTGCCCACTGAATTTGGCCCATTACCTGCGAGCCAATGTTCCTCCCTGCAGCTCCTCGACACCACTGCAGCTTTTTGTGCCCTACAGACCACTTCATCTGTGCTTGGAATCGCCCTGCAGTTCGAAGTAATGTTCCTACAGGGGAACAACACCCCTCATCCATCCAAATGGAAGCGTGGGGCCAACATGTGGGGCTGGGGCTTTGTGGGTTCTGCTGCTTTGGGGGGAGAATCCCGATGGGTGGGTGTGATTCTGCCCTACTGTGCTCCTGGCTTTAAGGAGAGCAGGTTCAGCTCTGAGCCCTCAGCTGTGATCATTCATGCAGTGCCCAGCTGTTACTGCATCCCGTTGGAAGTTCAGATCTTCTCTCTGCTACCTATCCCTGTTCCTGCCTCCTTCCCTGCTGCTAACTAGCTGTATCTGAGTTAATAAGGCTGAGTTAATAAGGTTAATTTAGGTTGGATGTTAGGGGGAAGTTCTTTACAAGGAGAGTGGTTAGGCCCTAGAATGGGCTGCCCAGGGAGGTTGTGGATGCCCCGTCCTTGGACGTGTTCAAGGCCAGGTTGGACGGGGTCCTGGGCAACCTGATCTGAATGTGGATGTTTGGTGGCCCTGCTGGGCAGGGGGTTGGAACTACATGATCCTTGAGGTCCCTTCCAACCCGGGTGATTCTGTGATTCTGTGATAATAAGCTAAAGCTCCTGCTGTGCTTCGGCTCTTGGTGGATCCCAGCAGTGGGGTGGGGGTGTAGGACAGGAGCTCAGGGGTAGCCCATATCCCCAGCCCTGCCACAGAACGCTTCACACTGCCTGTTTTGGTGGCTTTAATGACACATCTGGACATGCTAGCTATGTGTGCAACATCTAACAATTCTTGCTTTGACATTGCAGGTCTGCGCTGGCAGGCGTCTGGCTGTGGCTGCAACCAAAGCCAGTCCTTCCCGAGCTGCCCTGCAGGATGGCTTCACTCTGCATGGGAACGTTGGCTTTCTGCAGCTTCCACCTCTGGGCCAGCGGCTCCAAGAAGAAGGAGACAGGAGAGAGCAGAGCACAGGCACCAGCAAAGAGGAACGAGCAGGCGTAAGTCTGCGTGTAGTCGTACAGCCACCCTGCAGGAGAGGAGATGGTTATTGAGGCTGTTGGGTTGAAAACCGCTTTGGGGAGATGTGTGGGAAGCAAGGGATGTGTGCTGTCCTTTAAGAATGCCTCAGATATTTTCTGCAGGTTGCCTTAACCCTTTGTGGCTGTGTGGCTGGTGCGTGGTGGCCGGCAGGCAAGGTGTTCTTGGGACCGACATTGCCAGCCCCTTGTAGGGGATGTGAGTTTGCATTGGATTACGTTTAATCCCCAACGTTTTGCTTTTTCCTTTTTAACCACAAGGGCCAGAAGTAGCTGCTGCAGCAGATGTGAGGTCCTGCTGGATAATGAGCTGCTTTGCACGTGTTGGGCTTTGCAACATCTGCGCCGCAATCTCCGCGTTCCCCCAGGCATTTTGAGCAGACCCAGTGCAGCAACCTGTCCAAAGTGAGAGATCCCAGACGAGGGGCTGCGAGCAAACTTGCTTAATAGTAGCTTTGCTGGCACTTGAAAGGAAAACCTGAATTCCACAGAGACTCAGGAATCTGCAGAGGGGCAGGTCGCCTTTTAAAGTGACCTTGAAGTGTTTTGTTTGGTTACGTCTAGTTTCTGGACCTTCAGATTTAAGTGTGTGTATCATCTATTATCTGGGTCTTTCATTTAATTCTTCCTGCTTGAATCTAAAATATGCAAAGCAATTGGAGCTGCTGCTGCCTGTCATAAACCCTGCAGTATATTCCCAAATCTGGCATCCGGATGTGTGGGGTGGGTGAGCAGCACAGTGACCAGCGGAGCTCAGAGCTGCTGCTCATGTGGAGCAAAATTCCTTGCGTGACATCCATGGATTTACACCACTGACAGCAGCAGCTTGGGATCCAGATAAAACAGCAGCAGCAGAGCCTTGTTCCCAGCATTACCTGTGGAACTGTGGGGAAGGAAGCAGTGCTGCTCAGTATGGGGTGACCAAAGGGGACAGATGCCAACGCTTTCCTTGCTGGCGTTTGCAGAGCCATGGAGGGCTTTGGGGAAAGAAAGGAGGTCTCGCACAGTGCCCTGTGGGCTCACCAGCTTTCAGTTTCACTTATCCCATGCCTTTGCCAGATCTCAGCTCTGTTGTTTTTGCTTTTTCTCAGGGATATTGCTTGAGCCCAGGAGTGCCTTTCCAGAGGGCAGAGCCCAGGGAAGCGCAGTGGGGAGGAGGTGGCAACGTGCTCCCTGTGTGTTGTGCAGGATGGGCTGTCATCAGAGGTGGGGTCAGCTTCTGCTCTTTGAAGATCTATGGGATGCAGACCAGGGATGCTGACGTGGCCAACCGTACAACGCAGGCATCCAGAGCAGAGCATTCCAGCTATGATAAGCTCTGAATCTTTTTATTATTACTTTTAAAATCTTCGTGATCTTTCTAAATGCGGGATTTTTCTGGTTGATTTTTAATACACAGAAGCTCTGCTGAAGCCTCAGTGTCCCCTCCTGGCTGGCAGTGCCATGCAGGTGATGCTCCGAGCACAGCACGTCCTTTCAGAGCCTGCATGCCTCTCCCTGAGCAAGAAGGGCCAAATCCTGCTGCAGGGAGCTGAGTGCCTGCAACACACAGCAGAGTGGTGGTTCTGCAAGCTGGTTGGGTTGTTGGAATTGCAGAGCTGCTCTGTGAGGGGCCTGGCACCTCTGGGTTTTGCTTGCTGCACATTTCCTAACAGCAATGCCTAGCACAAAGGCAGCCATGCTGGAGGTGAGAGCATTTAAATCCCTGTGCCAATGCTGCTTTCAGATGACTCCTTCCTCTCCTCCTTTACCTCCCACATTTGTTGGAGCTGGAGTTGCTGTGTGCTGCCTGCTGGAATCAGTTCTGGGGTCTTGAATTACATCGTTTGTTTGGTGCTGGTTTGTTTTTTTCCCCTTTTGCAGTTTGTTACTGATTTCTCCTCCTTAGGAAATAGGTTGTGCCTTCTCCTTGGCTCCCTTGTAGCTTGCCAAAATGATGTTTGTTCTGCCTTGTTCTGCTGTTCAGGAGTGCAGGAGCACCCAGCTATGAGGAGCCTCAGTCCTGGCTTAAGGGCTTGCAGTTAAACAGATTTGCACATAAGTCACCTTTTCATTGCACTGTGATCAGGCTTTGCTCTGCTGTGCACAATAAGCATTTATAACCCATGTCACCCTCATGCTGTGGCTTCCACTGCAAAAACGATGCAAGCTGGGCTTCTGAGGTCAGCATTTCAGGGATGTCAGCAGCAGTGGGATGCACTGAAACCCCCAAGGTCTTTCTTAGCACTTCAGCCCTGTTGTGTGTTCTGCAAGGAGCAGCTGCTGTTGGAAACAGGGAGTTAGCAGGTAGTCCCAACTGCTTTTCATGTCTCCTATGGCAGTGTCGGAGCATTGCAGTAGAAAGCATAGGAAAACTACAGCAAAAGGAAAACTGTGGTGTGCCACAAACCTGGATCCGAGCTGTGACTCATTTCCCTCTCGCCCTCCTTGCAGTGAGGTGGATCAGTGCGACTCCTTGGCTCTGTTGGGCCTCGATTTGTCCCATCTGGATGGAGAAGGCTGATCTCTGTATGGGGCTTCTCACCGAAAGCCTGCTTGCTTTACGAAACCCAGACCCATCCTCGCATCGTCAGGAAGCAGAAGGCTTCCAATTAGCGAAAATAGATTGGAAGCAGAGGGAAAGCATAACCACTGCATGATGCATGGATGAAGGAGAGCCAACTTACTTAGCTCTTTTCACACCGTATGTTATTCTGTCAGAAAATTTCCTGCGCTGGTTTTGCAGGTATTGCTTTCTGCTGGACGTCCATCTTGTATCAGTAGAAGAGATCTTCTCCAGCTCGGGCTATGGATCACTGTGACAGAGTAAAGCACGCTGTCAATGAAACGCTTTAGCTGCTCCAAATTGCATCCATACCCAGAGTTTGGCCAACCTAGAGATACTGATTAGGGAAATCAATCTTTCTCATGCCTGCAGCATGGCAGGGCTGCTGGAGCTCTGCAGCACGGAGGTGGTGTCACGGAGCACAGACGCAGGGCTGTCTTCCTTCTGTCCCTCTGTTTCTGCTTCAGAATTAACAGTGCCCTGATCGTGGTCAAACCCAACGGTAGTGAAGTCGGTGCTGCTGTGCTGTGGGTGCTGAGCTCCTTTCCCATGCAGCTGTCACCCTGTACATTCATGAGCAAAACTGTTTCCTGTGCACAAAGCTGACGGTTCTCAAACGTGTTGTGTTTTATCTGCTTGGACAGAAAAGCCATCCGTGGATGTGCACGGGTAGGAGGCTGATCCAGAAGAAGGTTTTACTACTGGATGCTGGTGGTGGGTATGTGAGATGTGAAGGGTTTACATTACCTGCGAGAGGAGGCCCGCCAACAGCTGCTATCCCAGCAAAGAAGGAAGCAAAGCCCAAATAGCTGTGGAGTTTTTGCACGCCGACCAGGTCGACCTGTTGGTGTAAACGCAGGTAAATAGCGGGAGGGTCGGTGGGAAGCACTGAAGACCTTTTGTGGAGAAGTTCATCTCTGGATGCTGTGGGGTTTGGGGAGGACTTTGAGTCCGGGTCTGACTCAGCCTGGAATCTGCTCGCCTCCCGAAGGTCAGCGCTGAAATTGCAGCGTGCAAAGTGCACTTCTGTCTTCCCACCGTTTGGGTGCACCCTGGGAGGGCAGCCAAGCTGCGAGGATGTTTCCCCATCCAGATCCCACTGTGGCCGTTCTGTGAGTGTCACAGACAGCCCAAGGGTTGGGACCACGCTTACAGCCCTTCGGCTTTGCATTACAGGGCAGTCAATGAATGAATTCGTTCTGCTTCCTATCAGCTTTTAGAAAGGAGGATGCAGAAGGCAATTCAAGAAGCTCCCAGTGCTGCTGCTGCTTCCCATTGCCAGGGCTGGGCAGACTGGAGCCCTGCCATAGGGATTTGGGGGCAGGTCCCTGTCATTGCAGCCCACAGGAGCACAGTGGGGCTCTTCAGCCTCACAAAAATATTGTTACATGTTTTGGAATGCTGTTAGAAATACCATACATTTCTATTTTGTTCCATATTATATTCCATCATATATATATATGTAATTTAAAACTGAAATATCCTCACCAGCACAGGGAGCACCAGAGCCAGGAATCCACCGCAGAAGATGGCGAAGGCCACAGCGTAGGTCATGAGCAGAGGGAAGGTGGTGGCCAGGGGGCAGAGCAGGTTGGTGACACCGCAGAGCACCAGGTAAGCTGCATGGTAATGGTACTTCTTGGTCCAGTTCTGGTCTGCAATCCAGCCTGACAGCAGCTGGCTGCCCGTCTCGGTGATGCCTGCAGGAAGAGCTCACTGAGCCTCAGGGAAAGGTTTCTTACATAGATATCGATCTTTTGCCCAACTTTTGGTGCTTATTTCCACATTTTCGGATGCGTTTGTTAAAAGATCAGAGCAGTGGGGGCTGTCAGCTCCCAATTAGGGGCGTCAGATTAATTGCTGTGCGCTCCTCCTCGAGTCCTTCACAACATTACCTCAATTCTACGCACTGCACAGCGCTGTGGAAGGAAGATTTATTTTTATACAATAAAATGTTTTATGATGACTGAGGCTGGGGCCGTTTTCTTGCCATGCTGTGACTGCGGTGTTTGTGTTGTGTTCTTGGGGGGGTGGAGGGCAGCTTTTTCTTACCTCCCCCCAAGAAGCGAATGTGCCAAATGCCGATGCTCAGATCCAAATTAGTGGTGGCTCCCTTCCTTTCTTTCCCTTCCTTTCTTTCCCTTCCTTTCTTTCCCTTCCTTTCTTTCCCTTCCTTTCTTTCCCTTCCTTTCTTTCCCTTCCTTTCTTTCCCTTCCTTCCCTTCCCTTCCTTTCTTTCCCTTCCTTTCTTTCCCTTCCTTTCTTTCCCTTCCTTTCTTTCCCTTCCTTTCTTTCCTTTCCTTTCTTTCCCTTCCTTTCTTTCCCTTCCTTTCTTTCCCTTCCTTTCTTTCCCTTCCTTCCTTTCCTTCCCTTCCTTCCCTTCCTTCCCTTCCTTCCCTTCCTTCCCTTCCTTCCCTTCCTTCCCTTCCTTCCCTTCCTTCCCTTCCTTCCCTTCCTTCCCTTCCTTCCCTTCCTTCCCTTCCTTCCCTTCCTTCCCTTCCTTCCCTTCCTTCCCTTCCTTCCCTTCCTTCCCTTCCTTCCCTTCCTTCCCTTCCTTCCCTTCCTTCCCTTCCTTCCCTTCCTTCCCTTCCTTCCCTTCCTTCCCTTCCTTCCCTTCCTTCCCTTCCTTCCCTTCCTTCCCTTCCTTCCCTTCCTTCCCTTCCTTCCCTTCCTTCCCTTCCTTCCCTTCCTTCCCTTCCTTCCCTTCCTTCCCTTCCTTCCCTTCCTTCCCTTCCTTCCCTTCCTTCCCTTCCTTCCCTTCCTTCCCTTCCTTCCCTTCCTTCCCTTCCTTCCCTTCTCTTATATCCCCTCTCTGTACACTCCGTGGTCAGACTGGAGGTCTTTGAATGCAGAATGCATTTCTGTGGTTTTTGTGGGTCTGAGCAGAGCAGGGACAGCTGGGAGGACAGGGCCCACACCTAGCAGCCTGAAACCTGCATTTGTTCCCTGCAGAATGCTTGGCTGAGAGAACCACCCACCATCTGAGAGCAGCTCTATCCATGTGCAGCAAGCAATGCTATATATACAGAAGGGAGTAAGGGCTGTGAGCTCAGGCTCTTCCATGAGGATTTATTTTAGAACACATCTCGGGAGCGTTTCTTGGCAAGATGTGTGTTGCATTGCTTGCCTATTTTGCAATTATAAAGGTGGTTAAAAGATTCTCTTGCCTACCGGCCACTGAGATGAAGTAGGAGGCATCCATGCTGCTTATGCCCAACGTCCTGGCTCTGGCTACCAGGTGGATGGTGGGCACGAAGTAGGCCAGGTGGCTGAACAAAAAGGACCAGGTGAAAATGAAGAAGAGGGGATCCTTTAGGGGGGAGAAGTCAATGAGAGGCTGTGGTTTATCCTCCTTGTGCGCCGGGAGGGAGCTGCAGCTCTTCGTGGCCTCGCTGATGATTTCAGGGCAGCAGCTGGCAGTGGGGGCTTTCCCTGGTGCTGCTGTGGTTACTGCACCAGTGCTGCAAGGCTCTGTGCTGGGAAGGTCCTGAGCACTGCATGGCTGTGCTGCTCCATCAGTGGCTTCCTCGAGGGCTCCTGCATCTCCTTTGGGCACTGAGCTCCCGTCCTCATTGCTGGCTGGGGGGCACAGAGGCATCTGGGTGGGGACGGGGCGCAGCAGCATGCTGGAAGGCACGAGGTTCAGCATGATGCCACTGAAAACCAGGAGAGTACCTGCAGCGAGGCAAAAGGGGCTTTTTTAAAATGCATTTTGCTAGGAGAAAACGGGGGAGAAGGAAGAAAGGATGTGATTTGTTGCGAGCGTGAAGAAGGAGGTAGGGGTGTCATGCAGGAGCCTTTATTTGGGCTTTTCTAACTGGAAATCCCTTTATAACACATGCAACAAGTTCAGAGCTTTGCTTGCATTCATTGGAAGTGCTGGACTTTCAAGGTGATGGAGCACAAGTCGGGCTTTCTGTGTTGACTCTGACATATTTAATGACATAGAATAACTACAGCTGGAAAAGACCTCCAAGATTATTTAGCCCAACCACCAACCCATCACCACAGGGATGCTCCCAGAGAGGCAACGCCGCTCCTCCTGCCCTCCCACTGAGCTGCATGCAGGGCAGGAGTTGTGCTCACCCTGCCAGCCATAGGTATCGATGAGCAGCTGCGTGAAGGGTGCAGTCAGGAAGGTGAGGCCCATCCCTGAGCGTGCAATGGCATTGGAGAAAGCCAGCCGGGTCCTGCAGCGCTTGGCCGTCATCACTGCTGCTGCCTGGTATAGGCAGCAGAACCCCATGCCTGGTGCAAACACAAGGGGTCAGTGGCAAAGCTGGGCCATCCTGAGCTTATTTTCTCTATGATGGAGGTGAGAGCAGGGTTCTTCTTGCTGGCTGAGAATAGGATTTCATGCACAGTGTGGGTTTTTGACACTGGGCGCTTTTGCTACGAGTTAAAGAGGGGAGGGATCACAACGTGTGTTGGAGGCAGGGATGAAGGCAAGGTTGGTTTGGTCTGGCTTGTGTTGGATGTGGGATTTTGTGCTCCTGGGTGTGAACATTTGGGGTTTCATGCAGCATCCTGTAGAAAGGGGCTGAGGATGGCCAAGGGGCAGGGACAGCGGGGACACAGCCTGGGTTAAGGGAGCTGCCACTCACCCAGCAGGAGTCCCATGGAGACACAAAGGAAGGGGACACTGGTGGCCTGTGTGCTGAGCAGGCAGCCCCCACTGACCAGCCCAGCCCCGAGGATGGAGGTCGGCCGCTCACCGATCCGCCTGCAGACCACGGCCACCAGTGGGGCTGCATGGGAAAAGAGGCAGAGCTTGGTGCCCAAAGAGCCCAGATCCCCCTGACCCCCACCCTTCGGATACTGATCAGATCCCCCTCAGCCTTCTCTTCCCCTGGTGAACAGCCCCAGAGCTTTTCCACATCAGGAGTTGCTCCAGGCCCCACCATCTCTGCAGCCCAGCGCTGGGCTTTTTCCAGCAGTTCTCTGGAGCTGGGGAGCCCAGCACTGCATGCAGCCCTGCAGATGGGAGCCTCTCCAGGGCACAACACAGGGGAGAAGCACCTCACTCCCACTGCTGGCCAGTTGTACCCCAGGGAACCATTGGCCCTGGCCTCATGGGCACGCTGTGGGCTCGTGGTCAACTGTTGAGCAACCGTTGGTCAACCAGAACCTCCAGGTCCTTCTCTGCAGAGCTCCTTTCCAGCAGCTCAGCCCCAGCCTGCGCTGATGGATGTGATGAAAAGCAGCTGTAGGTGAGGGACCTGAACCTGCAGCACCCTCAGGTCCCTCCCCTGCAGTGCAGTGCTCACCTCCTAGGAAGCGCAGTGAGGACATGATGGAGCCGATCCAGCTGACCTGCTCCGAGGAGCCCCCCACATCCTCCTGGAAAGCCACGAAGAAAATGCCAAAGGTTTTGAGCATTCCCATCACGAACACATTGACCTGTGTCAGAGCAGGACAGGTGAGGTGCTGCAGGGGATGGATGCGCTCCCTCCTTCTGGGTAATTGCCTTTGGGACAAGTTAAGGAGTGCTGGGGAAATACCAGTAAGGTTCCTGTGTCTTGGGGTTGAACCTCACTTGACCCCGTGCAAAACTGGCTTTTCCAGAGCAGCAGAACAAAATGACATCAGAGCTTTGCTTTGCTGTCTGATGAATTAATTTCTGAGCGGGTCTCAGTGGTTGCTCCCTTCCCAAAGGACAAAGGCCAGCTGGTGCCTCCTGGCCCAGGGCTGGGGTTAACCATTGCCAGCTATGGAAGGCAGCATCATGCTCTTTGCTCTGCCTGTCCTCCTGTGGCAAAGCATTCGCCGCCTCTGAGCCTTCCCCTAAATTTTTGCCATTAGTTGGATGGGATCAGGCCCCCAAAATTCCAAAGGTGTGGGGTGAATTTGTGCTCTGCTTACCAGGAAGAAGTGCAGCACCGCTGCCCATGCCCACCTTCGGTCCGTGCCTTGGCTCCCATCTCCCTTCACTGCTGGTGGCTCTGGCTTTCCTTCTTTCCTTTCCCCTGGGAGTGAAATTTGGGGTACATTAACTCCATGCTGTTGTGGTTATCTATGAAGCTTCTCCCAGGAGAACCCCTCTGGTCCTTCTCTGTGAGGAGATGGGGAGCAGCATGTTGTGCTCCTCTACAGCACGTTTTTAAGGACCGAAAATGCTACCCATCTTTTTGTTCGCTCTCACAGTATCACTGCTTGCACGCAGCTCAGCTTCTTTTCTCCTTCCTAAGTTGCTGAAGGCACAACAATTAAGCACTTTCCCTGCTGCTTTAGAGCACGGCGTTGGGTTGGTTTGTGCTAAAAGCCGGGGGCTCTGTTTGCCCCATCTTTGAGCCCCTGGGGAGGCTTTCCCTGCACACTTTCTTCCCATCCACCCATCATCTATCTGTCCCACACGTCCAGCAGCAGCGGAGCCAACAAACCCGACCCCTTCCTTACCGCCTTGCTGCTGCATGCTGGCAAACCTTCCCCGAAGCTGCAGAAAGCACAGAGGAATCTTCTCGTCATTTGCTCCAGAAATGAAGCCCCCCCCCCGCTCTGGTTGCCACCCTCTGCCCCCAGCCTGGCCCTGCGTCCCGTCTCCAGTAGAGATGACGATCAACACAGAACCGAGGCAGGACCTCAGCTGTGAGCCTTCCTCCTCCCTGCTGCTCCAGGCCGGGAGTCCCTCCCCTTCCCCGTCCGGGGCGATGGCAGAGCAGAATTCCTGCCTGGAGGAAACGGAGCCGCCTGCAGGGATCCGACCGAGTCTCCGTGTCCGGTTGCTGGCGCTGATGGATGGAAGCCAAAGCTGTTGGCCCAGCCCAGCCCTGTGGCCCCAGGAGGAGGAGGTGAGCCGCCACCAGGGCAGCAGTGCTGAAATGGGGCAATGCTGCGGGGTTGGGGTGGCTGTCTGTCCCCATGCCTGCTTTACTCCCTCTTGCTGCGGGATCCTGGGGCAGAGCTCTGGAATAAACAGGGATTATCATCCTGGGGTAAACAGGACGGTGTGGAGAATCTTCCTTCCCCT